TAACGCATCGCAAAAATGCTTAATTTTTAAGACATTTTTTTTCATCTTTTGTTTACATTATAAAGCAGACCAGTGCGCTATTATAAGAAATTATTATTAAATTAAATATCTCTGTCTCGATACAAGTGAGAAACACTCTCGCGGGCAAACACTTCTCTTCAATCTATATATGTATTTAAGTACTCGCATTACTAAGATATCAATGAGATATGTCTATTCGCCCGTTTGTTTCAGATCCCCTTCAAGAGAGTCAATTATTCTCCGATGTCTATCTTACGTGTTTACAATCGTTGCGAATTACATTAGTGGACGTCACAATGAAGATTGATATTCAGTGCAAACCAAGTTGTGCTACACTGAATAACATACCGACTTTATTCTTAAGTAGTATATATATATATGTTGTGTGTGTGTGTGTGTGTATGTGTGTGTATCTTGTGTGTGCACAGACGTGGTCAAGATCCCTAAAATTTAGAACACATAGCTAATTGTCCGTTTGACTGTCCAAAAAAGAGAGGATGAGTCAAAGGCTGAAGAACACGTTATGTACAATGCGAACGTCATTAAATTGGTAATGACATTTTCCGTCGAGTAGAAAAACAGAAGAAAACATTCTGTATGCTCAATTTGTCTGCTCGTTAGAGCGTTGTCACCTGATCTCCGACGTATTTTAACAAGTGTATAAAATATAATCGCACGTCGCGGTTTCCAGATTTAAGTACAAGATATAGTCACTCTGCGATTTATATATATGAAATATAATTTTGTTTAATTTGACATAACTAGAGTTTATAAGTAAAAAAAAAAAAAAAAGAAAAAATAGTATGGCGGCTATTTCTAGACTGCGAATTCGGAAGAGTACGCAAATATATAAGTTTCGTTTCTCCATCTATCGTCACAGAATTCTAGAATCTCATCATCCCGAAACGTGCGTGATTTACATCCTTTTGTGTTTTCTTTGTGTGTATTTAGCGTAACATGTAACCACATACATACGACATCGAGCCGCTCGCAAAGAAGTTTAGCCTTTTGCAATCGCGCGCAAAGTGATACTCCTTACGATATAATCATTTATAAGAAAAAGTTCGTTACGCACTAAACATTTCAAAATTCTTTCTTATCGTTCTGCCTTCCGAAATACAAATTTACTTTAACCGAATTGTCATAGGGACCTCAATATATTACAAAAATATGGCATTTCACAAAGAGATTTACACAAGAAAAATGTATATTAAAATATATATATATATATATTACATCTTCGAGAGAGAAAATTGCGTGTAAACGAATAAAGAATATACGCGTGTAATGTACACAATCGTTTTGATGTAAAAAAAAAAAAAAGAAAATAATAGAAAATTTATTTTTTAATGGCAAGATATATTAAAAGTTACATTCTTTTAAAATAAAGTAAGACGTCAGTGTATCAAGATACGGCATATATATTCTTAATCATCATCATGTATTGACTATTGACCTTATATGATTATTCCTTATATATTTTTCCTGCATAAATGTGTTAAATATTTCGGTTACTATTCATAGAAATAGTTGTCTGCTATAGCTTTTAAGCATAATAAAGTTATGTTCGTACGTAACCCGACATGTACCACGAAAAGACTTTCGAAAAAACGCAATAAAATCGGTATAATGTAGCGATTTTCATTTGTGTTAACAATGTTATCTAAACAAAAACAATACAGTTTAAATAATATTAGCTTCATTAACAAGCAACGAAAACACTATGATAACAAACTTATCAGGACAATAAATAACGTTTCATTAACATGTCAGATCGGAAAAAGATGGTACGAATTCGGACGAAACACAAGCACAAATCATCGCGATACACAGCGGGGGCATGCGAGCAACGATGAATTCACGAAACAATTTCGGATATTTGACTGAAATGTAAATGTAAATATTGTTGATACAAAATGAGAGAGCGCGCGCTACACGTACAAATTCAGTCAAGTCAAGAGAGTGCTACAGGTAAAAATGGAATAATACCAAAATAAAATACTGCCAAATGTAAAAACCAAGTAAAATGTATTCTATGGGCAACATCGTAATAATCATATCATTATGCTGATACACTGAAATATAACCACAATGTGTAATGTGTTTACAATGTTGTGTGTATGTATGTGTGTGTGTGTGTGTGTGTGTGTGTGTGTGTGTGTGTGATGTACACAGAGCGTTATCAAATAATCATTATTTATCACTAACTCTGACAATGATTATACTGACCGATAATAGGCAATATGGTAGCATGGTCATATACAGATCAGTAATAATAACGTATAACAATAATTGGGTAATGTCGAGCACCAAAGGTATAACGTTACAAACAAAGGAGCTTTGTAATTTCATATCTATGGCGTATCTACGCGCCACCTTTATGAGCGCACAAACCGAGCGTTCGCGTACTCAAGTACTATTGCGTGTGGCATTGAATGTGCACGAGAGGAGATAAAGTATGTCTTTAAGATTCTTTTAGCACATAAAATTTCTCAATGGCTTCGTACTTATGTAACAAACTTGGCAAACATTATAATTATTATTACAAACATAAACCGAGTCTTTGTCTTCAACGTTGTAAGTATTTTTTTTTTTCCTTCCTCAAATATACTCTCCTATGATACTACTTAAAACGTAAAATCGGTATTCCCTTAATTAGTCAGTTATGATGGCACTATATGAATTACTTTCCTTTATTCTCGCAATTATCAGCTAACGTAACGCACGACTATAATATTGTAATGTTATTACTATTACACATTATTATAATAACTTTTATACATATATATCCACATATGCATACATCCGGTCGTGTATACATGATGCAAATCTTTCGTGTATGTGTACGTGTGTGTGTATGTGTGTGTGTGTGTGTGTGTGTGTGAATATGTTTTTGTATGTGTTCGTGTATACATATTGTTCTATTTAAAATTTATACATTGTACAATGTAACTGTACCGAAATTAACCGTAACAGTACGATACGCAATTTGAGGAATTGTCAAACAACCTCCCCTTCAAACTGTATTGTACAAATATGTGTATAACTACATAATAATGTTTAAAGTATGTCCCCTGTCATATGCTTCATCTGTTTACAGAGTGCATTTCAAAACTAAGCGGAAACTCAATACGATAACTATATGTTAAAAAATATATATGAAGGATCTTATAACTTTTGGTGTGATTGTGTACGTATCAAACAGGTCATACCGTTTTCAGTTTCAAAATGCACAGATACAGATAGTAACAGTAAAATGACGATATTTCTTATGACGTTTAAAAATGTGATGCTACTTGGCTTTACAGATATGTCCAGTACTTAAATCTGTATTTTAAACTTAATTGTGTATATATATATATATTTATTTATTTATATATTTATATATTTATTTATTTATATTTGTGGTGACAACAGTTGTGGCTAGTACATATACATTGTATTTTATTTTACTACATTGTTACAGTGATCTGGTACTTGTGCCGTGCATTGCAATTCGATTATTTGCGAACATTGCCTAAAGCCTATAATGGCTTCTTTTTTCCAAACAATCTTAATTTATGTTGCAATATAAAACCGTCTAACCATCCGTAGACCTCTTTATCTTATGCGTATGGCTCTTCTAACGATGGTCCATTTCATTCACAGCGTTCCAACAATTTCAATAGTCTCTGAGTTTTTAACTACAATAATTATCATTACTTTACGTATTGAATATCTGTCAAAATCTTGAGGCACAACTGTATGATCGTAATTCACGGCAAGTAACCAAAGAGTATTTAGAACACAATGTAAACGAATATTACAAACGCGTATATATGTATATATATATATATTATACAAATTAACATAATTTTATGTAATCAACTCGCGCTTCCAATTGTCCAAAGTAAAAAAAAAAAAAGAAAAAGAGCTTGTGCAGAAGAATATAGCTTCAGTCACTGGGATGCGAAATTTTTGCAAAATTGATAACATCTTCTATGTTACTGTATCTTCTATTGTACATTTAAAATAATGTTAAAATTAAATTATTTCTCGATGTTCTTACAATCAAATAGTAAAGATCGCAAGGTAGGAGCAACTCTGCAATGTTGACAGAAATGTGATTCTCGTCATAAGTTGTGCCGACCAAGACGAATACATCTTTAATTACATCAACTTATTTTTGCTCACAGATATAACTTACACGTACTTCATATTAAAAATATACATTGAAGTGTACGTACATGTACTTAACGTACATTTAACAAATTGCCTACTCTTATGGGTTTTGTTATGCATTATCGTATGTTATGGTAAAATAGATCAGATAGCACATATAAATCTTGCATATAAAGTACTGCTCATGCTTTTCACATCACACTGCGACCATTATAGAAGTGTTGATGTCGGAACACTCAAATGACCTTAAATGGACTTATTATGCAGAGGGATCATGTTAGTTTCGATATCACAATAGGGCATTTCAGAGAAAGAATTAACAAGTTTAAGGTTCATATCCGTTAAGATTAAATTTAAATTATATCCTGTGTGAGATAAATACGTGAAGAATTTTAATATCTGATATAACAACGCCGATAAGACTGAAATTAACGATTTAACATTTCCACTTTATACATCCATAATTACAAAAAAAAAAAAAATTAACGATAGACGATATAATAATCCCGGTAAAATAAAGCTGAGAGATTGCCTTTGTATTTTTATTCGTGTTCTAGTTTAACATATCGATCAAATGCATTCAAAACGTAATACCAAGTTTGAAAATATAAATTCATTTGCAAACACTTATACCTGGCAATCAGGTATGTACAATCGCTTTTCGTAATATATGAATAGAATATATTACAATTAAATATCAATTAAATATAATAAATTTCGTGTCAATAGGAAAAGTTTAATAACTAGTAGAGACATATATATCTTTAATACATTAAAGTTTACTTCTTCGTTATGAAAAATAACAATTTCTTTATATCTTTTTTTGTTTGATAAAAAAGTGTGTTGGCTAAGAGATTGCACTTTGTGATCATCTTAAAAATTCGTGATTAAGATTAATGACTATACGCATTACGCATTCATATTCCACATTTCCGATTGTTCGTACAGTCATATGAAACATTTCTAATATGCGTTAATAAAAAAAATGAATATCGAGGGTTATACCTCACCGTACAACCTTCGATTACAATAAGAGGTTGCCTTCCCACGTTATTTGTCAAAAAGTCACATTATAAAGCTTACAACATAATATATATCGTTTCTCGTACATATATACATATATATATGTACATATATATATATATATTATATATATATATATATAT